AATCTATCGCGGGGCTGGGGAGATAGCTCAGTAGAATAAGTGCTTGCCTGGCAAGTGCAAGGGCCTGAGTTCAATCCCAGGTTCTGAAAAAAAAAAAAAGTCTATCGTTAGCCAGGATTAACCAAAAGAATTCTGCTTAGGAAGGAAAGAATGAATATACTAATTTACAGGATATTCCTAATCTCTAAGCCTTTACTGGGTTGCCCAAGAATTCCCTATCCTCAGAAGCACTCCAAATCTCTGTTATCAGGAACTCTGGGACCTTCTTGAATAAGAATTTCCTCAAATAAGAGAGAACCAATATGCAGCTTACCAGACTCCAAGGATAACAGCAAGCTCTTCAGCACACAGGTCAGGAATCTGAAACTGCTCACAATCTGCGAACTTTATCTCATTCAGAACAGTATCATCATTGAGTTCAAGATTCTGGTGGAATAAAATAGAAAGTATTTCGACCAAAAATTAGTTTGACTCACTAAATAGCAGTGTATGTTACAGATGGCTGGTAGGGATAATATTAACTTATCTTTTGGGTTAAGACTATATAATGTCTATACATTAAGCTACTTCTTGTGATACACATATTTGTGGATAATTAACCTCGTAGAAATGGAAAATGTATCATTTATACTTCTGAAATTCACTGATAATAACAGTAAGAGAGAATAACATTAAAATTGGTTGAGCTTAATATGCAAAAAACTCTCTGCTGGTAAATTTACATACATTTTCCCATTCATCCTCAAAATAACCATGGGTATTTCTATTACCATTTATGGATGAAGAAATAAAGAAGGAAAAAAAACTGATCCAAAGTCACACTCAGGGAGGCCAGGGACATGGCTCAGTAGAATAAGCACTTGACTGGCCAGCACAAGGGCCTGAGTTCAATGCCCAGTTCCGAAAAAAACAAAAAAACAAAAAAAAAAAAAAAAGGAAGTCACACTCAAAGCATGTGGCATCATCAAATTTCAAAGGCTGGTCTTTCTGCCTTTAAATTCTAATATAAAGCATGAACAAAGGGCCAGTCAAGTAGCTAAGTAGATTACAGCACCTGCAAGCAGGCACAGGGGCTAAGGGCTCAATTCCCAGGCTTGCCATGCCATCCCTCCCCACTGCACTGAGAGGGTAATTGAGACTGGGCATGGTGGCGTGTGTCTGTAATCCCAGCCCTTGGGAGTCTGTAAACAGGCGGATCACTATGAGTCTGACCTTGTAGTAAGGCCCTGAACACCCTGTAGACCCTTCCCTAAAATATAAAATAAAATAAATAAAACGTCAACAATGTGTGATCAGGGCTGGGCAGAGGGCTCAGTAGAATAAGTGCTTTCTTGGCAAGCACAAGGGGCTGAGTTCAATCCCGGGTCCCATCAAAAAAAAAAAGAAAGAAAAAACAATGCGTGATCAGCTATGACATGTTATATAAATCATCAATGATAGGAAGATTAAATTGACAAACTGATCCTGAAATTTATATAGAAATGCAAGAGATCCAGAACAGTCAAAACAATCTGAAAAATAAAACCTTAAAAAGTACTTAAGGGCTAGGGATGTGGCTCAATAGTAGAAGACTTACTGGCAGGCACAGGACCTTGAGTTTAATTCCCAACATCAAAAGAAGGTACTGATTTCAAGAATTACTACAAAGCCAGCACAGTGTGGTCCTGGCATAAAACCAGACACATAAAGGAATGGAAGAAAATAACAGTCCAAAATTTAAGACCCATGTATGTAGGGTCCACTGATTTTTTTCAAGAGAAATACCTAGATGATTGAACAGGTATAATATTTTCAATAAATGATGCTGAAACAGCTGGATATCCACTTGGGGAAAATGACCCTTCATCTTTATCCCACACCATACCCCAAAATTAAACCTAAATTAATCATAGAACTTCAAAGTAAATGCTAAAATTAAAAACTAAAAAAGAAAACTTCAAGAGGAAATCATAAAAGAAAATCTTGACAGTCTTGGAATAGGCAAATACTCCTTAAGACATTCAATAAAAATAAACAAATAGAGAAAACTCAATAAACTGAACATTATCAAATTTTGAAGTTTTGCTCTCTGGAAACACTGTTAAGAAAGTAAAAACCTAAGCAAAGAATATATTCATAAAACTTATCTTTAAAAGGACTTATACTCAAAATATGGAGAATTCTTAGACTTCAACAATAAAAAGGGGCAAGCAAGTCAATTTAAAAGTCAGCTAAAGGCCAAGCGTGGTGGTGCACATCCATAATCCCAGTGCTTAAGAGGCTCAGGCAGGAAGATCACTGTGAGTTCAAGGCCAGCCTGGGTTCTATATTGAGTTCAGGACCACCCTAAACTACATAGCAAGATCTGGTCTCAAAAACAAAAATAAATAAATAAAAATGTGCAAAATATTTGTACAGGCATAGCCAATGCCCATTGTAACCACATCTGCTTGAGAAGCTAAGCTAGGAGGGTTACAAATTCCAGGCCAGCCTTGGCAATATGGAAAAAAACCCATCTAAAAATAAAAATGAAACTTGTATAAGCATTCATAAAAGAAAATATATAAAGAGCTAATACAAGCACATAAAAATTCCTCAACAATAAACACAGAAGTACTATTAAACATTAGAATGACAATATTATATGTAGGCAAGAATCTGGAACAATTAGAACCGTCAGTTTCTTATAATATGCATTTATCATAGGAGCCATGAATTCTACTCCTAAGTAATTACTCAAGAGAAATAAAAATACATCTATACAGATAGCTACAGTTGCTTAAGTGCCTGCTTAAAGGAGGCAGTCAGTTTCTTTGAGCGGTGGTTCCATTCCCACATACTCAAGGCAACCCAGACCAGCGCTGCTGCAGGTCAATGGGGAGCTCAAAAAAAAAAAAAAAAAAACCTTCTATACAGATAGCTAGATAGACAGACAGACAGACAGACAGACAGACAGACAGACATGCAGCACACAGGTGAGTGGTTGGTGGGCTGGACCAGTGATATGATAAATAACTGAGCTCTTCTTTGGGGATCAGTATTTATCGACTTGTACTAACTGCCACCAACAAAGCAGTTTTTACCATGAAAAAATAAAAATAAAGGGAGACCAACTACTGGTATTATAAGATGGATGAATCTCAAAAATATGCTAAGTCAGATGCAAAAAAGTACATAATATCATTCCATTTATGTGAAATTCTAGAAAAAGCAGCTCTAATCTATGATCAGTGGGAGAAAAGTGATTGCAAAGGAATGTTAGAGGGCTTTCGCAATGGTTTTTACACTTTCATTGGCAGAGGGATTATATGGCTTTCTGTGTTTTTCAAAACTCATCAAAGTATACTTCTTTTTTTCTGATCTTTTTGAGACAGGGTCTCCTTATGCAGTTCAGACTGGCCTGGAATTCACTTTGTAGGCCAGGCTGGACAAAATGTACATTTAAAATAGGCACATTTTAAAGCCAGAAATGGTAGCACACACCTATAATCTCAGCACAAAGGAGGCTAACTCAAGAGAACCACAGTAAGTTTGAGGCCAGTCTAGGCTACACTGCAAGTTAAATACCAGCCTAAGTACACAGTAAAACCTTGTCTCAAAATAAATGAATGAATGAAGGAATGAATGAATGAATGAATAGGTAAGTGCATTTTACATCAATAGTACCTGATAATATTGCTTTACAAATACAAGAAGGGAACCAGTTCATCTGCCCAAATCACAAGCCAAAGGGGCAGCTTCCTTGTTCTCCCTAACTTTAGACCTATTCTCCATCTACAAGATTTCCAAAACAAAGCACTACATCCCCAACACATACCTGGGGATTTTGTGACCTGAAGGAACACTAAATTTGAGGCCACTCCTCAATTCCCAATGTAAAAGTTCCTGCCTGAAAGTGTAGGCATAGTCAGGGCTGACAGATATACAGCACACTCTGGTGGCCATCCTTTCTCACCACAGGCCTTTCATAATTTTTTAAACAGAATCACATATATAATTTCAAATTTTCTGATACAAAATATCAAAAACTAAAATAATGCATCAAAAACAGTATTCCTAGAAGATGTAAAAAACATTATTAATTAGATACTTTACATAGTTTTTCCACACAGTCCTTATCACAGTATGTATTTTATACTTCAGACCCACCTCAGTTTGGACACCAGGCTTTAGGTACTCTACTGCCACATGTGGCTAATGGCTGCCATAGCAGGCAGTGTGGCTCTAGAGTGTCCCAAGACTGTCATCTTTTAATATCCTTCTGAGGTTGTATCAACTTACTTCTATCTACATCCAATTTGTAACACATTTGTAGACTGCCTTTACACATCTGATCAGATCTGATCTTTAACAGTAGTGTGAGGGCTGGCCAGATAGCTCAGCAGACCAAAGCACCTGCTGAGGCACAGCGCAGCAGCCGGGGTTTGATCCTCAGTGTGCCATGAGGGCCCCGCCCCCGGAGCACGCTAAGACGGTGCTTGAGACTGGGCATGGTGGTGTGCTCATAGTGAGACTCTGTAGACCCTGTAGACCCTGTACTAAATATATTTTTTAAAAAAGTATAGTATGGGCAAAAATAATCGAGGAAACAACCTCAGTCTTGGCAATGAGGATGTGACAGGAACACATTCTCTCTCCTCCCAGCCCAAGGCTCCTTCCCTCAAGACCTGAGCCATGTCAGTGTTAGCCACAGGGAATTATTTGCCAGATGCAATTAAGCAATCAAAATAGTTTGACTCTTCACTCCAAATTCTCTGTGTTCCTCTTCAACTATTTTTGCAATTAAAATGGCCTACTACATTAACTATTTAGATCCAAGTTTCTTTTTTTTTTTTTTTTTTTTTTTTTTTTTTTTTTGCAGAACCGGGATTGAACTCAGGCCCTTACACTTGCCAAAGAAGCGTTTATTCCACTGAGCCATCTCCCCGGCCCCCAAATCTCTACAAGTCCCCATGGATTCTACTGAATTGTACTAAATAAAGAGATCAGGACACAACCTACCACCAATATGTCAGATACAATGTGGGCAGCATCTGATGCGCGTTTCTTGTCACAGGCAGCTGAGCAAGTGTGTGTTCCTGCTTTCTGTGAATGCACCTTTGGTTTGCTCTCCCTCCTGTCCTTCTGACAGGTGAGCTTTAAAGAACACCAGAGACAATGTGTGGAATTGGCACAATGTGTTGCTCATAACTCCTGGCTTATTGTACCTTGCTACCCAATAACTTTAGGCTATGTAATTCTCCAACAACAGATTATAAATCTAGGAAAGCTGAAAGGGAAAACACTATGTTCCTCACTGGCAATCAAAGTAGTCTATCTCCACAAGTCTACAAGGTATATTCCCACACTAACATCTCTCATTAGAACACATTTTTGCAATCACTGTAATTGATACGGTGCTTTTTTGCCCAGAAGAGTAGTTATTAAATACATAGTAAATTTTATAATCTATTAGAAAAAAGGAAATATGACATATAACTATTTTCTCCTTGGTTTGGTTGTATTTGGTTTTTTGGCGGTACTAAGGAATGAATCCAGGCCTCAGGCAAACAAGACAGGAGCTTCTGATCTGAGCAACAAGCTAGACAGGAGCTCCCCTCAGACTACATTTGGGGGAACAGGGTCTTATTAAGTTGCCCAAGCAGGATTTGAACATGTAATCCTCCTGCCTTAGCCACTTGAGTAACTGAGATTACAAGCATGCACCACCACATCTGATGATATATAAGTAATTTAACAAATGATTCCACCTTCTACTCGTGAGAATAACGTTGTTTATGTCAAATCCATATCTATATCACACAACTAGTAATTGCTATTAACACCTGCATCTAATACTTGCTATTAACTAATAATTAAGTCATAATTAACAAAGATTGTAAGAATTCTGAGTGTACTTTATTTCATATATGAAAGATTAAATAAATTTTATACTAATTACATGATATATTTTATACATTCCTTATAAAAGTCATATACTTATTATAGGATACAATTTTCAATGGAACACAGTAAAACAAAAATTGTATAACTAAATAAAATGCTTAGATTTCAAGAATTAAATCTCTTTGCATAGATTCTGTATGATGGCCTAAAAGCAAACTTATGAGAGTTCACTCAAGGCTTTGAGAGGGGGTTGAGGAGGGTCCCAAACACGTAAGGAGGACACAAAGGACAGAGGCAAGCTTAGCAGCTCTGACCAGAATCAACCTGAGTGGTACAAAGTCACGGCTGTACATCCTCCTTAGTACAAACCATGCCTTGTGCAGAGTAACAACAGATGGGCTTTACAGAGTGAAATTAATCAAAGGACAACCAACAATGTAGGTGTGACATCTCAGGAATAAACAACATAAATGCTAATGCCATCTAAGGAAGCAGCTAGAGAAACATTTAAGTAGAACCTAATCAAGATCATAAATCCAAGCTACAAAGACAGACTTCATTAGACATGTCAAAAACAATACTAAAGAAGTAACCAACCCAATAATAACAAAATAACAAAAGGAGATCATAAAACTGATAAAAAAGAATCCAGACGCTTGGTTTATATATTTAGAAAATGCCAAAGAAATTTCAAGTCTCTGAACACATCCACAGAGAGCAAAAGTACAGTGAAAATATGGAAGCGTGTAAGAAAATCAGTTTCTGTCTGCCTTTCATTCCTCTTCAAGGGGGTAATACATAACTGACTGCATTATTAATTCATATTTATTGAATTCCATAAGAAACATACAATTTCTTTCTCCTTAAGGATAAAAAACTAGTCCAACACTGTTCTCCCAGCTGCCCTGGAAAGACTCAAAAGGGGACAAAATGAGGTCTCCTCCCAGCCTTCTCAGAGTTTCTATTCGACTCACCTCCCATAAACAGACCTGGGTGTTAACTGAACTAATAACTTCCAGCCCAACTTACCTTGGTTAAACACTCCTGAGGGGTAGGTGCTGGACTGAATTCACAATTTGAAAGGCCGCCCCCTTCCCTTCTTACATCTAGAATCAGTTGAGCTACATAATTTTCCTGGAATCGTGTTCTTTTTCCTAAAGCACCTGAAAAAATAAAATGAAATTATATCTACAGAATTGCCAGCCAGATCTACAGGCCATCATGCAGTATAATATTTCCACAATGCTTTAGAGTTGGTGTTTTCTTAATTTCACACACAAGAAATCTAAGGGCCAGTGATACTCAAATGACATACAACTGACAACACTGCAAAGACAGTATGCTATGGAACAGGACTCAAACCCAGTATTTCCGACTCATTTTGGCACCAAATTGCTCTGCAAAAAGAAGTAACTCATTAAGTGCTGTAGAGAAGAACTATTTCTATCTCTATACAATGGATGAAAAAATGGAGGCGGTGGGGAATAGTCACCAGATCACAAAGATTCATTCTCTGAAACCAGAGCCCAAGTTTAAGGCTACAGTTTTCAGGCTCTAAACTACACAGTCTAGCATAGTATTCTATCTGGCAGTATGTAACACCAATTTTTTTTTTAAAATGTGTCTAAAGTGATACACTGCCAAGTAGCTATTTCAGACCACTTTAGAGAAGGAAAAGTTTCAATATGCGTTCTCTGGAAAATCTCAGATTACAAAGACCAGTCTGAGAAGTCTGGATTTTATCCTTTGATGTGTCTTGTTGTAAGTTATGCCTCAACTTTTTAAATATGTTATGCTAAAGACAGCCACTGAAATGGTTTAACACAGCTTATGTTTTCATAGTAAGTGGGGGGGGTGGTCCGCTTCTCATTCTATATTTATAAGCATCACATTTTTAAGTTCCTTACCCGTAACTTGGAAAAAAAATGAAAAACTGATAGTAAACATACCAACAGTTAAAGCTGAATATACTAGACTGCAGTGCCATTAGTTTTTAAAGAGTACCAGAAAAAGTCACTTAAGATCAAAATATTTAAAAATAATCTCTGGAACTAAGCTCATGTGTTATATATAACCATACTTTCAAACATAGACAAGACTCCAACTTATATATGGCACTGTCCCAAAAGATATAAGCTGGATATTAAATAACTTTCCTCACACAACATAAGAAAAAGTGGCTAAGATCCCATACAAGCCCACGGCTTTTTTTTTTCTCTCAAATATTAGGGACTACACTCAGGGCCTTTTACATCCTCTGTACTTTCTTTAACCTTTAATTTTTGAGACAGGGTCTCACTTAGCTGCTAAATTACCAAGTCTGGGCTCAGACTCACAAGCCTCCTTATGAACCTCCAGGTGCTGGGTTATAGGCCTTGTACCACCAGCTCACCACCACAGTCATATTTAATTCACAATATATCTAAAGGATTTTATTGATTAGCACTAGCTCAATAAGCAGCACTGAATTTGGAAGCTAAGAACAAGCCTTAGAAAGAATCTAGATCTGGCTTTGTGGGGACAGATAGGTTCAAGTATTTCAAGATTCAAAGATAAGGGGCCGGGGAGATGGCTCAGTGAAATAAGTGCTTCTCTGGCAAGCACAAGGGCCTGAGTTTAATCCCCGGTTCCGCAAAAAAAAGATTCACAGATAAGTACTCACATGCTAAAATGCTCAGTCTAGATGGAATGGGTATGAACAAGAAATCAATTGACAATTTCTGAGTGTAATTAACTTATTCAATAGTGAATGGCAATTATATAATAATATATTAAGGATACACCAATACATTGAAAAATCTTACTTAGCATTCAGAAAAAACATGGAAGTTTTAGGAGAAATTCAATCATTCATTCATTCATTCAGCACATATTTATTGAGTGCCTACAATAAGCCAGACAAGGGACGAAGACACTACAGAAACATCTGCTCACAGGAATACAAAACAAGCAGAAGGAAAGCAAGAGGAGGGTATTTACAAGGAGGAACAATGCAGAGAGGCCAAGCTAGGCAGGCATCAAGAGAGGCCTTCTTGGGCAACACCAAGGGCCACATGGCCAAAGTTCATTTGTGCGCTGCCTGATTGCTACCTATTACAAACGTACCCAAGTGGAACAGGGGATTCTCTGGGAATAAAAAAATTATGATTTCTAATTTATCATAAAAATATAAACTATAAAATCTTTAAAAACCTATTTTATAAAACAAGCTATAGAAAATCAAACACTGGGCTGGTGAGATGGCTCAGTGGTCTAAAGCACCTACTTAGAACAAGCTTAGCAAAGCAAAGGGACCGAAGTTCAATCCCCCAGCACCACATGCCAGCCAGCCCCGCCCCCTGGTGGGCTGAGCTGGCCACACACACATACATACACACAAATAAATAAATAAATAAATAAAAATAAAAATAAAATCATTGGGGCCAGGGAGATGGCTCAGTAGAATAAGTGCTTCCCTGGCAAGCACAAGGGCCTGAGTTCAATCCCCAGTTCCGCAAAAAAAAATAATAAAATAAAATAAATAAAATCATTTATTCACAAAAGGTAGTCTTACCTGTCAAATCAATATACAATTTGCCAATGTCTTGAGCAATATTAAACTGATCTTTTGCTTTTTTATACTCATAATAATATAAAAATATATATGCACATTCCAGATGAAACTGAATCGCCAAATATCGACCCGAATCACCTACAAACAGATTCTCAAGTTTCAACACTACAAAATAAAAGATAAAACATTAAAAATTATGAGGATTAAGACACTGAATCTTCAATATTCAATACATACTATATACTTCAGCTTTTATCTCGGTAAATATCTGAAATTTAAAAAATGAGAAAACATTCTTAGTAACACTGCATCTGAAATAAAATGACTTATATTAATAAACTAGTACTATAACATATACCAGGTTACAATGGAATCTAACTGATCCCCAAAACAGAATTCCCAAAACAATGCCCCTTGTAAGCCACCCTTCACATTATTTTCAGTAATAGCTTATTCAGCACTTTGCAAAGCAGTCTAAAGATGAACAATGAAAAAAGGGAAAATGTACTTCCAATACCCAAGGACCCAAAGATAATTTTTCCATCATTCAAGGTAAAAGAGAATTTATATTTACTAAAGGTCTACATAGCCTAGCACTGAACATTTTAAATGCTGTTACTTAATTCTCACAATAATGCATTTGAGGCTGACACTATCTCCATCTAAGTCATTAAAAACCTGAGCTCAGCTAGTTGACTATCACCTCAACTGTTAAGTGGCAAAACCAGGATTTTAATCCAAGCTTGTGAGAAAAAACAGGGAAAGAAGTTGGCAGGTAAAAAGTGTGAGGCCACAAAAACTTAAGGGTACTTTATCATCTGATAGATAACCTGGCTGTTCCAATACATTTACAATGAGAAACAAGTATCCCTTCTTTGTTCCACCATACACTGAGATTACATGGGTCTGAAAAACAAAATGGTATTGATCCATACACTGTCAGTCTTTCAAAGAGATCCTCAGGACTCAGGGAGCAAGCCCTGGTGTGCGTGCCTGACCTCTAGGGCCCAGGGCCACCTACATGAGCTTCTCACTGCGAAACCTAGAGAAGAACTCATTCATGCAAACCAAATTCAGGAAAAGCTGGACCTGACAATATTCAATACTCTTAGTGAGGGCTTCTTTTATAAACTTTGTTTTCCTTTATTCTCTCCATTACTCCTGAGCATCTACCTGCTACTGTCAGAAATGGAAGAATCTTCCAAGGCATGATTTATAAGTGACACAATTTTACTTTGTGTCAGTGAAAGTAATTTTCCCAAAAGAATTAGAATATAAAAATCAAAGAATATGGAAGTTAGCCATGTTTGTTTAAAATCCTCTCTCAAATTGGACATGTCTTATAATCCAAGTACTCTTGGAGGATGAGACAGGAAAATCATAAATTAGAGCCCAGTCTGGGCAACCTAGCAACTTAGACATTGTCCTGGAATTTAAAAAAAAAAAAAGGGGGGGGGCAGCCAAATAGCTCAGCAGATTAAAGCACCTGCAAGTGGGCACAGAGGCCAGGGATTCAATCCAGCCCCACCCCCGGGGAGCACTGAGAGGGTAAATGAGACTTGGTGTGGCGCATGCCTATAATCCCAGCTCTTGGGAGGCTGTAAACAGGCAGATCACCAGTCTGATCTAGTAGTGAGACCCTGAACACCCTGTAGAACTTTCTACAAATAAATACAAGTGAATAAATAAATAAATATTTTTTAAAAGAAATTTTTAAAAATTCAATCAGAGGGGCTGGTGAGATGGCTCAGTGGTCTAAAGCACCTACTTAGAACAAGCTTAGCAAAGCACAGGGACCGCGGTTCAATCCCCCAGCACCACATGCCAGCCAACCCTGCCCCCCAGTGGGCTGAGCTAGCCACACACACACACAAATAAATAAATAAATTTTTTTTTAAAATTCAATCAGATAAAAAATGTTTAAATGTTTAAATTCTCTCAGAGAGAATTTAAAAGCTCATTTCTGCATTTAACACTAATGAGGCTAAAACCTTATCAAATTTGAACTGTCCTACCAACACATCAAGTAAGTCACAGAAATGCCTGACACTGGTTACATGGATTTCTTTTCCTACCTATCTACCTAAATTCTTATCTATCTAGGTATAACTGGCTTTGATCCTGTACTACTGTGCTTTCTCTGCAGGTTAATATGTTAAGGAAAAATAAAGTACAGGAAGAGATCATGATTTTATTTTAAGCTTCATTCTTAGATTCCAGCAGCCTGGCCAACTTACCTCTTAAAAATAACTCAAAAGCATGATTTAAATTTTTAAATATTCAAACTGATTAAAAAAATAAGGATTAATGGGGCTGGTCAGATGGCTCAGCAGACTAAAGCTCCTGCTTAAGCAGACACAGGGACCAGGGTTTGATAACCAGCAAGCCGTGCCGTCCCCACCCCAGGGCGCGCTGAGACAGTGATTGAGACTGGCGATGGTGACATGCGCCTGTAATGCCAGTGCTTGGGAGGCTGAAAACAGAAGGATCATTAGGAGTCCGATCTGTGTAGTGAGACCCTGTAGACCCTGTACCAAACAAAAAAAAAAAAAGAAAAAAGAAAAATATGTAATTTTAAATACACTTTTATGTTCATGATTGTATGGGAACAAAATAACCAATCTTCAGAGAATAAAATTAAGTAAAAACTGCAATGTTAGTAAGTAAGCAAGCAATGAAGCCAGTCTTCCTTGTCGCCATCTACCAAGCCCTACAGACTTCACTGTTCCATCCCAACAGCTTCAGAGAGCACCACAGACAACAGACGAGGCCCAGGCCCATCCAAAGCAGGCAATCTAGCAGCTCTCCATTTAAAGATGAGACCCACAGAATTGTATCTTCATGGTTAGAAATAAAGCTATACTCAATCCCTGGTTCTGGGGAAAAAAAAAAAAACTGATAGAAATAAAGCTATAGACTGGGGATATGGCCTCTTGGTAGAGTGCTTGCCTAGCATGCACAAAGCTGTGGGTTCAATTCCCAGTACAACTAAAAACAAAACAAAAGACAAATTTTAAATAAATAAATAAATAAATAAAGCTATGTGTGCCATAGAAAGGGGAAAGAAGTAGCTCTGCATGTAAGTGCAAAAGGTTTTATTATCCAAAGAATTTATAACCTTAAGCCAGCCTTCGCACAGATCTGTAGACCAAATCCAGTCTATCTACCTAGTCAGTTCAAAATTCTCAAACCAAGAATTCAGCTCCCCAAAGAAATGCAACAAACAAGTCTTCTAAAAGAATGCCACTTTGTGGTTAGGATAGATATATGATTACATTCTCTTAATGAATAGAGCAATTTGTTCTAATGGTGTTTGTAAATAGAATATCATGTCTGCATCTTGTACAGCAATTAACCACTAGGAAGAATGTATGCATTGTGTGAATTATTGAAACTCTCCTACCAATTTGATTTGAAACTATCTCATTGCTATTTGTTTATCAATAAAATTAAGGGGGGGGAATGCCACTTTGGGGCCGTGGAGATAGCTCAGTAGAATAAGCACTTGCCTGGCAAGCACAGGGTCCTGAGTTCCATCCCCAGTACCGCAAAAAA